TGGGACACGCGCCCCCCCACAACCAGCCCCAGGGCATTGTGGGACACACACCCCCCGCCCAGCTCCCAGCAGAGGGTCCCCCCAGGGGGCACTCACGCGGTAGGGGCTGTTGGGGATGTTGACGCCCCCCCAGGACACCATGGCCGTGTGTTTCACCGGCTTCTTGGGCACATAGGAGCAGCTGTAGGTGCCGTTCCCGTTGTCCTTCACCGCCACATCCACCGGGGAGCCCTCCGCATCCTGGGGGCAGAGCGGGTCAGCCGCCAGCCAGCCCCAGCCCTCCCTCCTCCCCGGGGGGCAGAGCGGGTCAGCCACCAGCCGGCCCCAGCCCTCCCTCCCCCCTCCGCATCCTGGGGGCAGAGCGGGTCAGCCGCGAGCCGGCCCCCAGCTCCCCACCCTCGGGTGCCCTCCGCGTCTTGAGGGCAGAGTGGGGTCAAGCCCCCAGTGCCCCACTTGGCACCTCCGCCAGGATGCACCTAGCCACCCCGTCTGTACACAGCCACGCTGACCTGCACCGCCCTGTGCCCCCAAGCCCTGGGCCACCCCAATCTGGCAGCCCCCTCTCCTCACCTGCACCTGGACCTTCAGAGGGGCCTTCCCGCCATTCTTGGCATCCACTGTGAACTCGGCCGGTTTGTTGATGGCGACACCCGTCTTCTCCAGCCCAGGCCCGTGGGCTTTCACCTGAGGGGGGAGGGGGCGCGGGTGAGAGGGGACCCTGCCCTCATGTCAGCCCCACTCCCAGCTGTAGACCCCGCTCCCCTCCCCGAGGGGGAGAGAGAACCCAGGAGTCCTGGCTCCCAGCCCCACCCCCTGCCCAAACCACCAGACCCCGCTCCCCTCCCCGAGCCAGAGAGAGAACCCAGGAGTCCTGGCTCCCAGCCCCCGCTCCAGGCGGTACCTTCTCGGGGTGCAGGTCGCGGGGGGCGGGGCGGATCTCGGCCATGAAGGGGCTGTGCCGAATGTCGGCCCCGTTGCACAGGACGTGCACGGCGTAGTCGCCCGGCTCCTGGGGCCAGTAGCGCACGTCGCAGGAGCCGTCGCCCCGGTCGTCACACTCGATCCTGGCCTGGGATGGGCCCTCCACCGAGAACCCTGGTGTGGGGAGGGGTGGGGGGGAGAAGAGAGGGTTGAGACCAGGACTCTCGGTCCTTCCACCGCCCCCCAGACCCGGGCCCCCAAGGGGAGACCGGCCCCTCCACCACCCAGGCCCCCCGGCCCCTACCTCCGTGGAGGTGGGGTCCCAATGAACGCCCAGCCCTTCCCCCACCCCAAGATGGGGACCCCGGCAGCACCCAAAGCCCTGCCACCCGATTGAGATCCGGGGAACCTGCATGAGCAACCAGCCCCCCGACCAAGACTGGAGCCGCCTCGCAGCCTCCCCCACGACTGTCCAGCATTTCCCGGACCCCCACCCACCCTTACTTCCCGGGTGGGACCAAGATTGGGGAATCCAGCTCCCCCCACCCTACTCACCCACCCTGCTTCCCCCTCATCCCCCCCAGCTCCCCCCACCCAACTCACCCGCCCAACTCCCCCCTCACCCGCCCCAGCTCCCCACTCACCCAACTCACCCCCCCCAGCTCCCCACTCACCCAGCGTGCCCACGTCATCCCCGATGGCCTCCACCACGAAGTCAGCCGACTTGCCGACCACGCCGCCCTCCAGCCCCGGCCCCCAGGCCCGGACCTTCTGGCTGCCGCACTCAGGGCCGACCTTCACCTCAAACGGGCTGGGGTGGGGAGGGCGGAGAAGAGCAGGTCACAACAGGGTCCCCATGGCACCGCGCTCCCCCATGTGTCCCTCCCCCCAGGGCATCTCACACACACACACACGCACACACAGCCCGCATTGGGGCATTGCCCGGGTCCCCACCCAGTCCCCTCAGCATGCACCAGGCATCCCGTCCCCAGCCATCCCAGCATGCACCAGGCCCCACTGTGCCCCCCCAAGCCTGCCCCCCCAGCAGCCCGCGGGGCACTCACCTGCGTGGCACCTGCTGCCCCCCCCAGGTGATGGTGACCGTGTAGTTCCCGGGCAGGGTGGGGAAATACTCGAAGGCAAAAACCCCATCACCCAGATCCTTCTGCTTCACGCTCTCCGGCCCCTCTGTGGGGAGACGGGGTCAGTGTGGGGCAGCCCCCCATCCTCCATGGGGCAGCCCCTCCCGCCACAGGCCCCCTAGATCCTTCTG